CTCTTGTTTAATTCTCGGGATAGACAATATGGCCAGGTGGAAGAGTCAGCTTCTAAACTTTTCAAAAGAATAACAACTGCTCATCGGAGTCTGTGAGAAGGGCTATACAGTCTAAACATTTCAGTACAGCAGTGTTTTTAGCAGCACAGGATCGATTATTGGACCAGAATGAAGAAGAACTCCTCAGGAAATGATGTTTTCTGTGTAATTTGATAACCAAAGATGACATTCATCATTTTAAATTAACCGAATTACACCGGCTCTACATGGGAAGAAATCTTACTCGCTGGTTTACCAGTTGTTTAGAGTTCTGGCATGCTCACAGCTCTAACCGTTTATTAAATAGTGATATGTAAGCTTACTAAAATAATTTAATTATTAATTTTGTTCCTATCTTGAGGTCACATTAATGTACATTTTAACTGTAATGTAGGGGACCGCGGTAGCCGAGTGGTTAGCATGAGAGACTCTCACGCCGCGGTCGTGGGTTCGATTCCCACCGTTGCCCCTGGCCCTTTTTTCCCAATAACCCCCCAAATTTGAATACACATATACGATTTTGTCACATGGCTAATATGCATAGTTCATAACGCCAAAAAAAAAAAAAAATAAAAAAATAAATGTTATTTCATATTTTAAGAGAAACTATTAAAGGAATTTTGTTTCATATGTTATTTTTGTTTCATATTTATTCATGTTTTATGTTTGTATATTCCTTATTTTTTATATCATGTTTAAAGTCAATGTTTACGTAATACCACTTCAAATAAATTTTTATGTTGTCAAAAGAAGTTCCAAACTCTGGCAGATGACTTTTACCATGTTTGCAATTTATTGTAGATTCATTTTGTGATAAAATAATATCAATAAAGTTTATTGAACATTACATGCCATTTAATGAAAATAAATTAAGTCTGCCGGGAGATGGACTTAATGCATTAGTAGGCGCCGTTAAATAGGGGTGTGGTATCGAAATCAATAATTAAAATAATTAAATAAACTAAAATTAAATAAAACCCCAATACCTGAAGTGAACGGGTGTGCAGTTCTCGCCAATCATCTTTTCGGTACGCAGCAAAGCAGCACCTAAACCCTCAACAGAAACCCTGGATAATATAATGACTTAGATTACCACGATACCTGCTAGGTTCCGTCCGAACCTTTTCTATCGGCAGCTGGCGGATTTCACTCCCGTGATTTTAAATTGAAAGAAAATTAAACTGAAAATACTTCTAAGCCTTAAAGCGAGGACTGCTATCACTTCTGATTTTACGCACGGAAGCAAGAAAACGGATACGCGGAAGCAAAGATGTACGTTACTCTGTTATGAGCCGAAGATACGACGGGAGAAAGTTATTGGTAGTCTATAGGATGGTAATCTGTAATATACGAACCATTTGTTTGAAGTGATTTTTGAGACCATATAATTGGATCCAACTCAATCTCTAGTAAAATAAATAGGTCGGGGAAAAACACTGAAGATTAAATATTTTGCGACATCCCATTTTCCCATCCAGCAAATATTGAAGTCCCCAAATTTGTGAAGCGTATAAAAAAATTGATCCGGATACCTTTGGCAGTTAGGTGGATTGAAGGCTGTGTGAGTGGCCCGTTCCAGATGACATTCAATTTAGCGGTTTTGGCTTTTTTTCTAGTTATTGACAACAATAACACTATTTCTCTCGGATAGAAATATTTATACATCACACTCCTTACACACAATAATAAACACGGTTAAAGGGTTTTTACAAAACATTATATCCCTAAATCATGAATCCTTTCACCTAAAAATTAACAGGATCATAAACAATTGTAACCCAGCACTACACAAAACTACAACTTCCACAGTACACAACACACCATCAACTCAATCACACAAAGAAACCGATGTGTACATGTCCATTCCATTCGTCCACACATTGTCAAACAAATTAAGAACATTTCTCTCCTCAGACCAAATTGGAATAGCTTTCAAATTCGTTGACTCAACAACAGCCAACAAATCCGATCTAATTTATAAATTATCGTAATTGCATGAATTATCTAGCTACATGCATTGGAATTGCATCACAATATTTGTAGTAAAATACCAAAAACCAATCACACAGCATTAGCCACTCACCATTTTAAAAAACACCACAATTTTGATTTCGACAAATACAAAAACTAAACACTGAAAAAAATATATTTAAAAAAGTATAAACGCAGCTTTCTAAAAATGGTTTACATTAACAGAAACACACGCACCATTAATTACAGAATAAGTTCATGTAAACTCAGCAGTAGCTACGCCAACATCATAAAGCAAATAAACTATAAAACTTTATTTTTATATTATTTAGAGATCATGAAATAATCATTATTTAACGGTCACTAAATACATTTATTTTTATATTAACCTTTTCTTTTTTCTTGTCCATAATAACTAACTTACACATCTTATGACAATCAAATAAAAACAGCAGAATGCAAATTCATGTTTTACAACAATTTCAAATTAAACAAATATGACACTACAAGAGTAGCACCACGCTTTATATGAGGACGAAATACTTAGTTGAACATTGTTATTTACTTTTGTATTGTATTTTTTCCAATCAATATATGTTTTGTAATTCATTCGCTCCCTGAAGATGACCCGAATGAAGATCAGGAAAGAAAAACGTGTTTTTTTTTAATATTTCATTCCTGACCCTCCTCACCATTTCATCAAATTGTTTTTATTGGCAGTATTACTTTTACACGTTTGTCAAAAATAGATGCTGTCTATGTTTGCTTGTTTTGTGTTCGTCAGTTCGCTATTTGCTGTACATAGAGGAAATGACGTTTGAGAAAGAATAGTAAGAATAAATTCGATAATATCAATAGCTATCGATTAGTTTTACCATTAATTTTCTCCACCATGATACATGCATAACATATCAGTAATATCAAACTTAAACTAACTAAATTCGTCCAACTATCGTATTTGATTTTTGATTTTTTTATACATGAAAAAAGGTATGTAATTGTGTGTTCACAGTTATGTGTTCATTGTGTTGTCTTCCCGTAAAGTTTAGATAGACATAGATTTTGGTTAGATTTGGTGTCACGAAATTCGAATTCCAAATTGATTAGATGAATTAATTTGATTGGGCAGTCTTCGAAAATCATGATATAAAACAACTGATTATTCAGAAATCGTGAGATGCGGTATGGTGTGATGTAGGTTTCAGAAAAACATTTTCTTTATCGTGCCAACGTTTCTATATTTATTGAGATCATCTTCAGGGCCTAGAATTTAGAAACATTGTTTAAATTTAACAAATACATGTAGAATGTGAAAAAAGTGAATTTATACAATGCAAAATATATTTTTATATTCATTCAAAGTATTTCTACTCACTCAAAATGTTTGTTTTCTATGTAATTGTGCCATTCTTGCGTGTCATGTTGAGAATGCCAGTGAGATAACAACAGTGAGAGCAATATCTCACTGGCACTCTCAACACGACACGCTAGAATGGCACAATTACACAGTAAACAAACAATTTGAGCGAGAAGAAATACTTTGAATGAATATAAAATATATATTGCATTGTATAAATTCACTTTTTTCCACATCCTACATGTATTTGTTAAATTTAAACAACGGTTGTATATCCTAGGCCCTGAAGATGATAATAAATATCGAAACGGTGGCACGATAAAGAAAATGTTTTTCTGAAACCTACATCACACCAGACCTCATCTCACGATTTCTGAATAATCATCGACTAACGGTCACTAATCACCACACATATAGAACAACTTACTACCATTAATTTGAATTTATTAAGATCGATTATAGAATTGATTTGCGTTGACTAGATTACCAAAAAGGATCGAACATGCAGCTCATTATACTTCAACAATTTGGTGGATGGAATATTGGATGGAAATAATGTCCGAACAATAAACATTGTGATATTTTAATTATGCATTTGCAGGTTTGATGATGATCTGACAATATTTTGGGTGCCAGCGCACAACATAATACTGGGCAACGATCAAGCAGACAAACTGGGTAGAATCTATAATTGGGATAACGAGAGCAAAAATACAGTCCATCTCAAAATGGACGCATACAAAACAAAAAGAGATATGGACTAACTCCGGGGGTGATAGACAGTATTCTAATAATCATCACCCCTCATCAAAACTGGCAAATATATTGCTCCAGTTAGAAAGGATAAAACTAAAGTGGTAATACTAGTCACTGGCATCTGAGAAAACACCTGAACCTGGGTAAATTGGTAATAAGACTGATCAGACTGGAAGAGTCTACAATACGTAACTGTCCTAACTCCTGATTAAAACTCGCCCAAAATAGCATTCTTCCACAAAATCAGTTAGCCTGCTGAGTAAAAAAGCAGAAAAGATTTTATTAACGCAATTTACAAACAGATATACCTCTGTAGTTATTTGTGTCTATGGTGTCTCCTTTCTTGAACAGAAGAAAAATGATAGACTCTTTGAAGTTCGTTGGGAATTTATTTTGTATGTTAACAATTTTTTTCTTCTATAAAATTATTATTATAGACTTATACTTATTATAAACTAATTATTGTAAATAATTCTGTAATTGTATGAGAGCTCAAAACCCTAGTTTTGGCATAAGACTAGAGTCATAAGAGATAATCTCTCTGATGAGTAAACAATTATTGCAATTTGGAAATAAAATTGTCTCTAAAGTAAAACATTTGACAGCATATTATCTGATTTTCAACGTCTTTCACAAAAATTGAGGGAATTAACACGGTTTCCTTAGAAAGTTTATCTTCGATAGAAGTATGGTTTTCTTTTCAAAGGTATCGCAAACAGAAAGAATGGAAATTTATAAGTTTAAATAATTTCTTATAAAGAATCCGATTGTTTTAGTAATTGTACTATTAAGTGTTTTTAATTAGCAATGAGCCGCATTAATCTCAAACGATATGTTATAAATCATTTTGTAAAAATCTAGTAATACTGCACAATTGTCTAAACATATGTTTTGTTGACACAATTCCTTATAATTTAAAACATGGACGTTCAAAACTTTTACCTTTAAATACATCCCATACTTAAAATTTTATGTATTTCGCTTAAATAATTAAACCAAAATTCCAACAAAAAAATTGAAAAATTAAAATAAAATAAAAATGTCCGTCTGCAACATAAACACCCCTCAACCCCACTACATTCCAGGGTACATTCACGAATAATCTTTTTCCAACAAATCGTTTTATTTGAATTTTTCTGCAGGTACACAGGGCATGTACCGACATACGTATACAGAGTGGGGGATACCTTCGGATCGGCGACCCATAAGATCTTGTTGGATCCGAATACAAACCACAGCGATTCTCTGGTTCTATCCGACAGGACTATCACGGATTTCGAGGTTAGACAGACGCGACGATAAACCGAACGTATGAATAAACTGCTATTTTCTTAGATTTACAGGCCTCCGAAGAACGTTATTGATATAATCGAAAACCGGAAGCACCATGTCGATGCCAGGTACAAGCACCCGGTGGTTCCCGGGTACAGTGGTTTTGTGCCCATGGCGCACGGTCGGTCCGGCCAGAGATTCACCGTCCAGGTTGAAGAAGGTCTCGCCGACTTCGAAAAGATGCAGATAAGAAACAGACAGGCCGAAAACAGCTTGAGGAAAGAAATATCCGTACAATCCGGGGCTTTCCTTCCGAACATCGATGACAAACAGGTCCTTCACATTCTTCCATTCTTGTTAAATCGACAATTTTATCTCTTTTTCTTAAAATTGTCATTTGTGGCTGTTTTAGTTGGTGAAGAGTGAATTTAAACTACCGTTGTTGGAAGTGCGACCGGAGGCGTGTGCCATCTTGAGGGAGATTACCGTGCCGGAACCACCTTCCAATCCGACATCGTTATTGAACTCGGTATCTCCTTATTTCATGGAAGAATCCAACGATGACAAAGCTTTCAAACCGGGTACGATGGTTTCATTATCCTTTAAACATTTTCATTATTCCGTTATGCTTTAAACTATATTAATAGATCGGGCAGGTCCAGGGGAGTATGGAAAAAACTGGCATTCACATTGATTTTTACAATGGTTTAAAACACAACTCCCAACTTTTAGTTCAATTTTATAAAAAGTGAAAAATTAACATAAATTTAAACTTTCATAATATTATAAACTAGAGTATTCATATCATATGGTCAGCTCTAATAAGCATTTTATTTCATATAAAACCTGTTATTAGATCTCCATAAATATTTCAATAAGACGTCGGTAACAAAGAATTTAGTTCGACCATACTTCACCGAAATTTTGTAGCCCAAAAGTAAGACACATTTTTTAAAAATATGAACCAGAAAGTCTTGGACGAAAGGATATACAGATCTTACGCAAAGGGATATTTACGACCACCAGGAAGTGAGTGCATTTGATTTAAAGTAAACCATTTTCACCAAACCCTAGACAGAGTATAATTTTATACAGTTTCTTTTCAAACGGTTAATGATAATTTGACTAGCTTTGACCGGTTCGTAAGTTCGTTAAAATTGTGATTTTTGGTAATATGCTTCATGCGCGATATCCCGGATTTCGGCGATTACCAAAAGCTTCGGATACTAGTCTTCTTATGCCAGCCAAGACTAAAAATTAAAATTATTCCTGTGGTACAAGAGGGCTTAACGGCCAAGACTATGGTGTCCTACCGACTACCGGCATGACCCCTTTAGTTTTACTATTTCTAACTGGAGTAATGTGAGTTTTGATTAGAGATGTTTATCATGAGATTACTGTGTATGGCACCCTTACACTCGGTTCATATCTCATTTTATTTTGTGTGAAACCAATTTGAGGTGGACTGTATATTTGATCTCGTCATCCCAATTATAGGTTCTGCCCAGTTTGTCTTCTTGATCATTGCACAGCATTACGTTGTGCGCTGCCACCCAAGATATGTCAGGTTGATCCTTATCAAACCTGCAAATGCATAATTAAATATATCATAGATGTTTATTATTCGAACATTATTTCCTTCCACACCGAATTGTTGAAGTTTTTAATGAGCTGTATGTTGAATTCTTTTTGGTAATCTAGTCAACGTTAATTCGGTTCTATCATCGATCTTAGTAGCAAGTTTATTTTATTTATTTGATTTGTTGAGTTTTTATTTGATTTTGTGGTTTTCGAAGAAGACCCAATCAAATTAAATGTTTGGAATTTTGTGGCACCAAATTTAACCGAAATCTCTATATCTAAATTTGACGTGAAGAAAACACAATGAACACATAATAAACACATAAAGTAACATAATATAACATAAACATAATGTAACATGTAACACACAATCATATATAACCTTTTTTATGTAAATCAAAATTCAAATATGATGGTTGGACGAATTTAGTTTTCAATTTTATATTACCGATATTTTATGCATATATTAGGGTGGAGGACAATTAATGGTAAAAACTAATCGATAGCTATAGATATTATCAATTTTACTATCGATAGTCGGATAATAAGCAGGAAACTATTCTTACTGAAACGTCATTTCTTCTAAATAAGCAAATAGCGAACTGACGGACACAAGACAAGCTAACATAGACGGGCACCTATTTTTGGCTAACGTTTAAAAGGAACAATGCTAATTAAAATAATTTTATGAAATGGTGAGGAGAGGTCAGGATTGGAGTATTTTCATTCCTGACCTTATTCAGGTCATCTTCAGGGACTGAGTGAATTACAAAACATATGTTGATTGGAAAAATTCCAATACAGATGTAAATATAAATTTTAAACCAAGTATTTCATACTCACATAAAGCTTGGTGCTATTGTTGTAATGTCATATTTATTTCATTTGAAATTGTTGTGAAACATGAATTTGTATTCTGCTGTTTTTATATGATTATTATAAGGTGGGTAAGTTAGTTATTATGGACAATAAAGAAGAAAAGGTTAACATAAAAATAAAGTTTAATTTGCTTTATGGTGTTGGTGTAGATACACCTGAGTTTGCATGTATCTTTTATATATAATTAATGGTGTGGGTATTTCTGTTAATGTAAACCATTTTTAGAAAGTTGCATTTGTATTATATTTTTTTTTTCTGTGTTTAGTATTTGTATGTTATTGAAATCAAAGTTGTTTTTTTAAAATGGTGAATGGCTAATGCTATGAGATTAGTTTTTAGTATGTTACAGTCATAAATGTGTTGTTTCTTCCTTTTCCCAAATATTGTGCTGTAATTCCAATGTATGGAGCTGGGCAGTTTATATAGTTAATTTTATAATTACATCGAATTTGTAGGCTGCTGGTTTGGGTCTTTGACTTTGGAAAAAAGTGTTTGTACTGTTTTGTGGTTTTTGAAAGCTATTTTAATTTGGTCTGAGGAGAGAAATGTACGTAATATGTGTGAAATGTGTGTTGTCATACCAGTTTGACTTTGTGCGATTGGGTTGATGTTGCGTTGTGTACTGTGGAGGATGTTGTTTTGTGTAGTGCTGGGTTATAACTGTTTATAATTCTGTTAATTATGTTTTTAGGGTAGTTATATAAAATTTGTTTGAATGTATATTTTATAGGTCAAAGGATTCATGACTCACTGATATGATTCTGTGTAATAATCCTTCAACTCTCCGTATATTATTGTATGAGGAAGGTGGTGTGATGAATAATTGAGTTAGTGGTCTACGTTCATTGGTTTTTTTTTTTACAAGTGTGTCTAAGAACAATATTTTGTTTTCTGTTTAGCCTTCATGTGTGACTTGTGAGGTTGAAAGTTTTTAAATGTGTTTAATGTTGTTTGTATTCGATCTGAAAGTAATGCTGTTAGGATCAATGTATTTGGTGAAAAGTAGTAAGGTAGTTGTGTGATAAAAGTGTAGATAAAAGTGTCATATATCTGCATAGATCTATAGGCCTTGATCGCTGCTTATGGCTATGACGAATAATTGTAGAATTGATTGATGTATGTGAAATAACCATTTCTGCAGCAGTGTCGTAACATTGCTAATAAATTCACCGTTGAATATGGTGAAATATCGATGAAAAGTGTCTGACCTCTCGGACACAATAAATCATGATAAAGCTATGCTTGGATCATTAGAAAGTAAAATAACAGTTTTAAAAAACATTACAATTAAATTAAGTCGGTAAACTCAAGTGATACAAATTGTTGAAGAAATTTTACAATTTATCTTCAAACATGGCGGGAAAACACGAGATGGACGATAAAATAAACAAATGGGTTCTTGTTGCATGAAAATATGCTTTTTTCAAACTTTCTCCCGTCTTGGAATTAAAATAAACAGTAAATACCGTTTGATTTTTTGAAGAAAAAGAGAATTTTTCCACACCGGAACCGTTTCACAACTGGTATTAAAAAAAGGTTTCAATTCAAAATTATATAAATCCAAGGCCTTCTGGTTTTTTAATTGTTTAAAAATTTTTTTAAACTTTACTTTTCTAAAAAAATATATTTTACATCTACAAGTAATGTTTATTATTAATTAGACGATGTTTCTTTGTTTTATGTGGATGTTTCTTCTTATTTTTTTTTCTGCAGGGGGTGTCTTTCTGCTTAATTTTGATTTAGTTCCCACAGGCTGCGCTCCATAGCCCGCAGTCCACACAGTGTACAGTCTACACTGTACAGTGTACAGTCAGCCACTACTTCCTTGTTGTTCTCGTACAGGACACACACTTCAAAATTAATTTAAATCCAGTTTTTTCTGTGTGTTCTGCATCAAAATCTGTCATTTAATCCTACTAAAGTGTCCCTTCGAAAGAGATTTCTTCCAATCGGAAACGAAATTAATTTTTGGATTCTAATAGGAAACAAGGCAAGGCTTATTTATGACTAATTATTGACAATTTTGCTGTGGACGTTTCTCTTGGTCGAAAAATAATTTCTTCTTGATAGGAAATCGCCTTGTACAGATCACAAATATCAGTTAATGTATTTTACCTATATATTTTTTAATTTGAAGCCACTTTTATCATGAATCAAACCTTTCATAAAGCCTCACATTCAAAGTGAAATAAGTAATAGAAATATTTAAGAAAATATTCTTGTTTATTATATCACAGTTCGTACTGTAAAACAATACTACTTAGTCAAGTTCTCATTAGCATTAAGACATTTAGTAAACCTCTGACATTAATTTGTGAAAACTCACTTTGACCAGTTTGTCTCAAACTCACATTATTGTTAGCTCTTTTTCGTACGCTGACAAAGATCTGCAGAGTGATGATCCTTTGTAAGCAGGTGTGCTCTATGTGCTTATCGCTAAGCGATAAGAGAACGCCATAAAGGCTTTTTGAATAGGGTTTCAAATACAAGAAACCAGAAAGATATTCATAAGCATTATTTTTACAATGGCCTGTTTAGATGTGGTAACAAACAAAATCAAGTCAGTCTAGCTCTGATATGCCTATTCACAAGAACCTATTACCCCGAAATGATGCTTGCCATTAGCAGCTTTCACACCATCGAGCATCTTATGGGACTTAACTTCTACAGCTTCCTTGGTCCATACAATCGACTATTCAACTTGTCCCAATGGCTGCTTACTGAACTGGACTGAGTCTAGATGAGTCTTAAATTTGACTGACTGCATTCCATATCATCCCCTTTTATACCAATTCCCCAACCAGAGTAGGGGAGGAAATGAAAAAGCAAAAACTGTTGGGGCAAATAGAATCTGGAAGTTTTCATTGCGCAGCCTCATGATCGCTGGCTGTTTGGTGAAGTTGTATATCACCCACCTCGCTGACGTGACCCCAAATTTACGGTGTTCGATAACTGTCCACAACCTTCCCATACTAAATAACTCTTTTTATTTCTATGATTGTGTCTTTGCTCCCTTGTGGGTGTGAGACCCTGAGATTGACAGACATTTCTATTTTTTTTTTGACATGCCTTAACACTATTTTTAACTTATGTTAAGAAGGGACCAGCTTACAACTTGATCATTTCCAATCATCATGGTATTCTCACTAGTTCCCCTGTCAAACAGGTTTTGTTTGTGACTGGTGGGCTGGTGAATTACTTTTCTTAGCTGTGCCCATTTTACACATTTAAATAACATAACAGCGCCAAACCAGCGATGATGTGATAGACTGCTTATCAGTGATGACTGAATTATAAAGTTGATGGTGTGTTTTGGTCTGTGAGTTGATAAGCTCCTGTTAATTGGGTCCTGTCTGTACTCGTGGGTGAAGCTGCAATGCATTTCAGCTTTGCACCTTCAGTGAGGAGCAGTGCATTTGAGTCGCATAAAAACCCAAGAGTGTAGATGGTTCCAGTGACAGGCCATTCGACAAAAATATGCCAACAGTAAAAATGAAGTGGAATGAATTGTAGAATACTAATTATAAGTTTGTCACTTGATGAAAAATCAAATTGAAATCTCAACGTAAAAATTTTTATGTTAACTTTTTAAATTTGTTACAGGTTACACTGGCCATATCCCGTACGGATATTCGAAGTACGGCCAGGGCTATTCACCATACACAAATTCAGCTTTGTGCGATTTCACCTCTAACTACAGAAGGAGGCAGAACACAGAATGGGCGCCTGTGACGGCCGTGAGGCCGGATCCGCCGCTTCTCATCCAGCCAACTGAAATATACCACAAGCATATCGGGATGCTTCCGAATTACGGTGGACACGTGCCGGGATCGTTGTTCAGGTAAAGACGTAATTGGTTAAGATGGAGCAGAGACTTAAGTCGGAGATGCAATCTGCGACGAAAATGCATGTATTGATATACAGGTTCTTGCTGAAGTTTTACAAACAGCAGAAACTGTTTGACGAAAAGCTGTACGATCAGATCAAAATGTACTGTCTCATTTTAAAATCGCTTGATGACTATAACGAGCAGATTTTAATAAGGAGTACGTACAATATAGGAGTCCTTATCGCTATGTTTGACAGATGTGCATCGCCGAATGTACAGCTGTTTTTTGAGGTGCTTAAAGAAAATTTAGTGGTAAAGATGAAAAAGTTGAAACATTTAAAACGAAATGTAATGACGAACAAGAATTGTAAGGAACAAAAATGTTTGAAATTAACTCCAATGAGCAAAGTAGACGGTAGTGATGCCAGAACTGCCGAATTGATTTCCAAGATTAAAACCATGTATAATATGACTTATTCAGAAGAGACCAGATTGAGGTGTGCTAAAAGACATAGCAAACCACAGGAACTGAAGAAAAAGAAAAGAAAAAGATGGTCATTAGGGATCATTAGGACAAAGATGAAGAAAAAGAAAAAACAGGCGCAGGAAGTTAAATTAGGAAAGAGTGATGATCGAGCTCAAGGGACAAGCCCGAACTATATGAAGCACGAGGTGATTGAGTTAGACGACATAGAAGATCATGATGCCGATGATCAGCCCGATGATTTTGTAGATTTAGTCTCATTGGAAAGTGAAGACGAAATCTATGAAAAGGGAAAACTTCAAGAAATAAGAGATAAAACCGAGAGTGTTTTCAATTCATACAAAGTCGTACATTTAGACAAAGAAAGAAAAATGTCATACATGACCACAATGAACAAAGCGTATCAAGACATGAAGAAAAAGAATTCTTACTCGCTTGTCTCGACACTTCTGAATAAACTCGACATGTCAAGTTCAACTTATGATTATAGCCTTAACGAAATTGGCTTACTTCATACGGATGATCTATTGCAACGTAATGACGACTTGCAGACAAAAATTTTCTATAATCATGAAAGCATACCCTCTGGGGTTCATGGAAAAGTGCCATTCTGTACTGTCGGTCCTTTACAGGTCAGACGTTATGAAGATGAGGTTGTGTTTTATTGTACATTGGACGGTTGTAAAAACTGGTGCACTACAAAGCCAAGCTATCTCCACAGACATATACAAGCCAAACACAGCGAACTGACATTCGATTGGTCTTGCTCCCTATGTCCTATCATAGACATGACTTTCATCAAAACGTCAGATCTCTGTGATCTCGAATGGGCTTTCAAACACCTGATGGTGTTTCATATCGAGAGAAGAAACTACGGTCTATATTTATTGGAAAAATATCAAGACAAAAATGATAGCTACATACCCGGTGTAAATGATGAAGATAAGACGGAGATAAAAATTGATTCTGTAATCACTTTAAATCCATCTTTTAAACAAGACAAGTACAACTTGCACAAAAATTCAAGAGTTCCTAAGTTGTTTGTGTGCCCGATATCAAATTGTGAGTTCACTTCGGATTGCGAGATGGCTAGTTTTAAACATTTTTTCAATGAATTTGATGAATTGGAATACCATAAATGTACTTATTGCGAACTGTCTTTCAAGGAAGCTTTCTCTTACTGTGGTCACATCTTAGACGAGCACGGCTTTGACAAATATCAATGCACCTATTGTATGTACAGATCCATTTCGAAGAATAATGTTGTACACCATCAAATGGATCAACACACATCAAATAGTATTAGGATTTTAAGCAATAAAGATAAAAAACATTTTAAAAATAAAAGAAAGGAAAGTGATATTTCAGTTGACCTCGTGCCTTATAAGTGCACTAAAAAGAACTGCAATTTTCAAACAAACATCAGTAAGTTTTTCAGTGACCATCTCACAAGATCCCATGTAAATATGAGTTATACGTGTCAGCACCCGAATTGTAGTTTCAAGACGAACATTCCTCACACCCTCATCGAACATATGCCATCACACGCAATCGCAGAATTCCAGTGTAAATATTGTCCGTACGCTTCAAACAATCCCCAGGCGATCCGTCGTCACATGTATCAGACACACGCCTCAAAGCATCCTTATTGTTTTCAAAGGATTCCTTTTATTTCAGAGTCTGAGAAAATTTCTAAACAATATTCGAACATTTCCTCTTTGAGCACAAATGTGGAAGACGTGGTTCTCATAGATTTAGATTCCTGCGTAGCAGAAAATCTATGGGATCACGAGGTGATAAATGCAGAAGAGTATGAACGATCGTTGAACAGTTACGACTGTAATGTGCTGGTGGAACAAGAAACATGCAAAGAAGACGTCGAAGACGATAAAACAGAAGGCTATGAAAAAATTGTTTTGAGCGATTCTGAACACGAGGACACACCACAGGTAAAGAACAAAACACTAAGGATTTCAAACTCTAATCCAGAAAGTTCAACCCCTAATCATAATTCCCTTTTAACGCTTGTTGACACTGAAAACACAGAAACCAGAAACGCTTCAGCTAACAATGCAAAACTGCCTATTCTTATGAATGTTAATTGCATAACACAACAAAAAATGGTGGAAAAAAAGACTTTGTTGTTTATACCCACTATGTCAGAACCAAGCTTGTCCTCTCCAAGTCTGTCATCACCTACAACTTTTTCGAGTGTGAGTGATGAATCAAATTCATCAGTACTATCAAGACTGACATTGCAGAACAAAGACGCTGCATCTTCCACTTCTGCCAGCACCATTTCATCGTACACTAACGGTATTCCACAAAATAATCCTAGCAATGGTGAATCAAATAGTAAACAGGCACCTAGTACTTCTAAAAAGATTGTCAAAGTTCCAAAAAGAAAATCAGATTTGACTTCATCACTATCTGACACTTCAAAATCAATACACCAAAACAACTTACGAAATGTAGCTAAAAAATCAACCACAAAAAATGGATTATTTTGAAAAGTCAGTCATCTTTTTTTTTACCATTGTTGAGTGCATAAATCTAAATTATGCATTTTAATGTATTTTATTACGTGTTATGTATTTTTTAATACGAGTGTCAAGTAATTCATGACAAAAATGTCTGTATATAGCAGTATTAATATTATTTTTTAATTGTATTAAAATAAAGTTCCTGTTTTATGATTATATGTTTTTTTCCAAACCATTCTCAAAAAATACGCGTATATTTTTTATATGCGGAAGAATAAAAAACTAATATGTCATCAAGGAAAACAAGAAATGCAGTAACAAGAAGATATTGAATTTGTGAGATAAATAATAGTTTAAGAATATAATGGAATATTCTTGAAACCTAAAATTATATTCTTTATCACTATTTTATATATTGTTAATTGTATTTAATTTAGTTTTGTTTGGGTATGACAGAGAACTATACCCTTTATTATACTTTCCTGTTTCCAGTCAGGTGAAATTTCCAGTCATGTACAGTTTAAATTAAAAATTCAAGTTTATAACTTTTGTAAATAATGGATTTTTAAGTTGTTCCGTTATGTCATAATTGAGATATTGTTTAAATAAATGTGCATACTCAAAGAATAACATTTTTATTTACACCATGTCTTCAAAAACAAATCAAAGTTTATGAAAATAAACAATTTAGAATTTAAACATGCCTTTAACTCAATTAGCTTAATATGAAATATATCACAAAGAATGTTTTCTAGGGCTGGTAAAACTTATGGCAATGACACGAAGGACGCGAAGAGGTGGCTGAGGGGCGACTTCTCATGATTGAGAGGCCCCGGGCAAGGATGGATTCATGGTCACATCTTGCTGGCCCCACAAGCCCATTTCTTGAGTATCTGCTCGGCTTTCTGAAGATTCTCATCTTTCTGTTTCGAGGAGCGAATTAATAAATCTTTAAACCGGTCATTACATTATTTTATTTACTTACTTTTATGAAGCAGTATCGAATATAATTTTCACCTAAGTTCTTGTGTTCGGTGCCATAAAATGCTGATGGTGGAATGCCCTGGAGCTTTTGGTTCTTGGTCATCCACTTGGCGAACTTGTAATCTTTGTATTTGTCATTCTCTTGGTCTAACGCAACCCTGTCAGCTGAAAAAAAGTAATTTAAATTAATTTTTTAGAACTAGGTGTTTGGACTTATTTTAATCATACCCAACGGTGTCCAATCTACCATCATGAAATAACCACCCTCCGGTATCGTAGGAATCATTCCGATTTCTGTTATAAATTTGGCCATGTAATCTCGTTTCTCTCTTAGTTCTTCAGCCAAACTTACAAAATAACAATCAGGTGAATCAATTCGTGATAACTCCAGCTCCAAACTTCTTGCTATCGCTTCCTTAAACATAATTACACATTTATAATCAAGAATCACAAAATAAAAGCCTTGTAAGCAAAAATATTGCAACTGGATATATTTACCGATATTGGAGTGGTAATGGAATTCAAAATGTTCTGATGTACAACTTGCAAGTTATGGATGAGGTTTGCCGGACCGTAAGCCCAGCCCGTTTTCCAACCAGTCACACTGAGTGTCTTTCCCGCAGATCCAATCGTGATCGTCCTCTCCCACATGCCAGGCAATGTCGCTTAAACAAAATTGAAATAAACTTTGTACATTGCATTTATTGCAAAGCCGTACCTATTCGTACATGCTTGTAAGGCTTGTACACCATCCATTCGTAGACCTCATCAGAAATACAGACAACGTTCCACTTTTTGCAAAGGTCCGCAATCATTGTGAGTTCTTCCATGCTGAATACCTTACCTACAGGGTTGTGAGGTGTGTTCAGGAGGATAAGCTTTGTCTTTGAACTGAATGCACAAGAAAGCTCGTCTTCATCAAGCTTCCAATCGCTTGACATGATTGTGCCATTTTTTTTGGTCTAAAATAGAAAAAGACTTTTGCTAATTAAAGTAATTCCTTTGGTACAGGAAGGGCTGAATCCACAGCAGCACAAATAGACAACTAACCATTGGGTAAAGAGGGGTCAGAACCATTTTACAAAACATTTAACTTATTTTAATAATTACGTAAAGCACACTGGGAGAAAAGAATTAACGTTAATGCTGACCACATCCGGTAAACAGATGGTTCCAAATATGGGACAGGAACTGGCATTTATGGAAATAAACCAAGGATTAGAATTTGTATAAGCTTGGGCAATATGCGACTCTCTTTCAAGAGGAACTGTGTTTATGGAACACTGTGCCAAGGAGATTTAAAAAAAAAGGAATCATTAACAAAACAATAGTCATCTATTTGAACATCCAAGTGGCACTTAGGGAATTACATTGGGCATAATTACCCTTGCCTTTGATACCAAGGCACACAGGGCAGAGGGTCAATGAAAAGGCCTATAAATTGGCCCTGAACCCTTTTGTGGCATGCCAAATTGCCAAAAAAGTGAATCCATCAGGCAATGGATTTTAAATAAGTCCTCCATTCAATTGGAATGAAGTTCAAGGACAGACTTGCAAAAAATTCAACAAAAGACCATCACAAAAACTAACTGTAGAACTACTAAAGCTAGGAATAGAATAATAGCTGACTGCTAACTAGATACAGTAGAATCTAGAGGCATAGTGTAGACTGAGTGCAGAAACAAGCCTGTGCTGACAGGAAAGAGAGCTAGCAGAACATGTCCTTTGTTGGTATGAAGGCTTATGTAAGCTGAAATTTTGACGCCGAGAGGTTTGGGCCTTAAGCTCTAGACAACAATGGAGATGCAAACCACTACTGCTCGTGTTGCAAAGATCCTAAAGAGAAGCCGGCTCCTACTAATCTACTACTACCTAATCTAATCTAATCTTGGGAACTTCCATTGCATTTAATTTGCTTATCAATAAAAAATAATTTACAAATAGTAGTTATTAATATATTGAATTATATATACTTACCATTCGCAATGGAACAAAAACAGGTTTCCCATTTGCAGCAGCTACCATTGGCTCATAACAGTCAAAAAACGGTTCTATCAGTATGACCTCATCACCAGCATTGACTAAACCGAGTATAGCACAGTACAGAGATTCATAAGCACCGGCAGTCGTGATTATATCAGTCATTGGGTTAATATCATGTCCGGTCATTTTTGAGTATACTTTGCTCAGAGCGTTGACAAGACGCACATGGCCCTTAAATATAATTCAACGATGAAATGACTATACAAATTTTTGTACTTGAGCTTACAAATCCTCGGCAGTACTGATGCAGGAGGACATTGTCATCTTTGGCAACATCAGCCAATGCTTGGGTGACATGCGAGGGTGCTGCAAAATCAGGAAAGCCTTGGCCGAGGTTGAGCGGTTTGTGCTCAGCAGCCAGCGCGATGAACTCAGCCCTGAAAACCAAACCGATACAGACAACCGAACATTTCAACTCGACAAACACTCACCATACTGTCTTTTCTGAGCCTTTGTACTTTGACGGTAGTTCAAATTTGCCTTCCAACGTTGACATTGCTTTGAAGTTAAATAAATTCAAAGAATAAGATGGCTTTTGTGATATTAATTTCCTCAGTCCTTTATACATCTGAAAGAATATGTTCATTAAACATAAAATTTATATTTGTATACGTATATTAAATTATCCAATATAACTTTTTATTAATTTATAATACGTACAAAAGTACAGTGGAAAAGTTGAAGTTTTTTGGATTAATTGCGTCTGATAAGAGTAACCTTCCAGTAGATAAGATAAAAACATCACCCTTGTCCCTTGTTATTTTTTGAAAAAGTTTGTTCTTACCTTCGTTAATGTGAAATGCTTATTTTAATTTTGATTGTTAAAATCAAAAATGTTAAATTCCTGGAACTTATTAATTCTCGGGATTTTGACAGAGGTAGACGTTCGAAGGTTTGTGATGTGGTTGATACTAAATCCAGTCGACCAATTATCGCTTTTTTTATTTTTTATACATATATTTCATTTTCAAGCTCACATGACTAGAGGTCATTCCCCTACAGGCAGAAAACGTTAAACTTATTTATCATATATATAGTTTATACACTGATGTACAAAATTAACACATCACCCTTAAATTTTAATGCATTTAGGGTTATTCATATCTTGTATTCCAAAAAGGTTTGGTTGTAAAAATAAGAAATTTAAAACTTAAATGTTTATTATTATTAAAAATAAATAAAAATGTAAAAAAAGTATGTCTCCTCTAAAGCTGAGGAAAAGCCTTTGCATTTTCCTTGGAAAAGATTTCCAAGAATTTTTGCCCATTCATCAAGAATCATTACGTGGTGCTCATTGTAAAGAAATGTTATTCCATTAAAATTTTATTTATTAAAAACTCCCATTTATTATTTTTATTGCATGTAAAATTGTTGTAAAATTAAGCTCACTTGATCTATAAAGGACTTAGGTGTTATATTTTACCACAAACTTTCATTTCTCTTACATATCAATGTGATAGTCAATAAAGCATTTAAACTATTAATTTTATATTTTCTAAGGAGAAATACATCTGACTTCACTAACATAAGTTGTTTAAAAAGTTTTATATTTCTCTCTGGTAAGATCTGTACTTGAGTACAACTCCCATATATGGCATATATGGTCACCCCACTATAAAATTCAATTCATGACATTGAAAAAGTGCAGAATAATTTCCTAAAATACTGTGCATTTAAACCAGTTTAACCATATATGACACTGTTACTATTCCTGTGCTACTGACCAAATTATCTCTGGTAGTAAGAAGGAACACTTATGACTTAATTTTCCTATTCAAAATTGTCAACAACCAAGTTGAGACCATATTGTTAAATAGAATTTATTTAAATGTCCCTTGTAAAAGTACTAAGAATACCAATTTGTTTTTTTATTTTTTTTCCTTATCGTAACTATTTCTATTATGCCTCTATTGAAAGAGCTTGTTATCTTGCTAACTGTTATGACATTGATTTATTTTGTGTCTCTATATCAAAAATCAGACATTTACTGGTAAATTACAATTAGCATTGTATTGCTTTATCAAAATGGCCAAGTACCATGTATACCAGTGGTTCCCAAAGTGATCCCTACGGACCCCCAGGGGTATCATTCAGGGGGTCCGTGGTAAATTAAAATTGATTTGGGGATCTCTGAACAACGTCAGGGGGATTAATATAAAATAATATAAAACAGAAGTACGTTGGTTATCTAAAAGTGCATGTTTAAATCCATTTTATGTGCTCTTTGATTCAGTGTTGGAATTCCTGAATTTCATTAACCCAAAAAATGACATAGCCTTTATGACTGATTTATTTGCCAAATTTAACAAAACTAATTTGAAACTACAAGGTGACCAATTAAATTTTATCAAAACTAAAAAACCTTTTTGAAAATCTAGCCAGCTCATTTTTATTTCCCTAAAAATGCATATAGTAAACAGCGTCAGTATAAATGATTTTTACCAAACAATTTGAAATATTGTTTTTCCTGACTGTGCTGCTTACAAGCCTATTGCAGGTGCTAGTTAGTATTCAGCAAACTGGCTGCAGCTTATGGACCCATCTCCTTGAATTCCAATGCGGTGACCATTTCCGTTCAGATTTGTCGAGTTACACTGACAAAATAATCTCACTCATGAGCCTATTCAAATATCCAACGTTGGAAATACCTTAGTTCAAGAATCTATTTTAGACAGTTTCAGTCGTTGGTTTTAGATTATATGTAGTTATATAGTAGCTCGTAGATTTCATTAAATAATATAAGAAACTGCTAATTTGTTTCAGATATTTCAAACAGATATGAAAATTTGAATAATTTTACACTTAGTACAGTCAATGATCATTGGATTATTTTTAAACTATAGTAAGATAAGTACCATACAGGAACCCTGAAGATGGCAATAAAAAGTTGGAAAAGTAGCAGTTATTTTTAAAAAGACTACTAGATGTTCCATTATAGGTTGAATCATTAAAAAACTAGGGTTGAAAAAAAAAAAACATCTCAACATAATAACTAAATATAAAATATTTTTTAAATATGAACGGCCATAAATAAAAAAAACAATTAGAGGAAATAAAAAGCAGTTATTAGATTAAAGATAAAAAAAATAACCTTTAAATTAAAAGGAAAGAGAAAAGGATTTTGGGAGAAAACAAATAAGGAATTATGCCATGTAGTAACAGTTATATTTAATATGAACAAATATTCTACAAAATACTGTTTTAAATAATTTTAAAATTCATTATTTAAATTTTTTTTGTTCTTGAATCGAGGGATATTGCACATCTAAATAGTCTTTGAGCGAGTTACACATTGTTCTTGCAGAACTACTGCGATGTATAAATTTATTTACAGCCTCGTCCAATTAAGTGGCAAGTCTTCCATTTAGAAATGATCGATTTATAATGACGATGATATAATAATGAAGCTAATTATTTTTTAAAAAAATTAACGCTAGAGACCATTGCACTTATTTATGGGCAACTTAAAGATTGATATTTCTCTGTTTTTTAAATAAACTATAATTTACTTTGGCTTAGCCATACACAGTTAGTTTTCAATTTGCCCATTTGATATATTCACATTGTTAACACTTACAATAATTAAAAAATTTGAGACAACTAACTTACAGAAGAAAACTAACAAACTATAACAATAAATAACAACAAAAATGATTTTCTTTTTTTATTTATTAAAACTTTATAATTAATTATTTGTAATTATTTATATAATTTATAGTTTAATAATGTTGTTCATTTATATGTAAAAGAAGTAAACTTTTATCGAATTCAAAAAGTTTGAATATACGTAAAAGCCAAAGGTCTAGGATTATAATACTGTTTTCTTTTTTAATTTCACTTTTTCTTTTCTTTCTTTTATTAATGTTTTTTTTTATTTTTCAAAATGTTCCAAATATATTTACAAGAAATTACAAATATACGACCACTGGACAAAAGACAAAAGCACCGTTATACACAAGGATATTATCTACAGTGTCTGTACATATTTACAAGAGGGCTATGTCGGTGCAGTATACCAATTAGGGGACGAGGAGTTGGGTTTGTTGTAGAGGTGGAACGCCGGGGCGGGGTTTGAGGAATAGAACTGGGGCTGTTCGATAGAAGTCGTCGGATAGGGCTCCAAGGGATGGACGGGATACGGTTGGGGCTTCAATGGCAGTGGCTGCGCGGGGCCTTCGATGTACTGCGGCCTCAGGACTTCCGGGTAGCCGACAGGAGGGCTGTCGAAGCCGGAGTGCAGCGGTTGTTGGTGTTTGGGGTCATCGCGGAATGATAGTCCACCGTGTAGTTATGGCGCAGGGGAAAGTCGTTTTTCTGGATGTATTCCTGGGGGTAGGAACCGTCGGAGCCCGGCGGGGTTGGCAGAGGTCCCATCTCGGGTCCGTAATATCCCGAGGGCCTGGTGACGTTGGCCCTTATCACGCTCTCCCTGTTGGCGTACAGTTGACGGAGGAGGGTCGAAGCGGGCAGGTGCTGCCGAGCGGTGGCTGGTTCAAAGCTCCTATCCATTGTATCGTGCTCCTCTGCTGCTGCGCTTTAAGCAGGGCGTCCGTGCTGAAGTCCGTGTGGGCTTTGTCCGGCGGCGGGAGGTGCTTGGACCTGGCCTGTTCCAGCTCCTTCACCGTGCCTCCGGCTCCGTCTGAGTCCTCTTGGCCCTTGGGGCTGCTAGCCAAGACGGACGACTGGCAAGAGGAGCTGGCCGGGCTGAGGACCGGGTACCTCTTCCTCACTGGAGCTTGCCTCTCTTCTTCTTCAGAGCTACACGAACTCTCCTCCTCACCGACTTTTCTCTTCACACCTCGTCTTTCCCCCACGAGTTTCTTCATCGGTCTAAATCTATGAAAAGGGAAAACTTCAAGAAATAAGAGATAAAACCGAGAGTGTTTTCAATTCATACAAAGTCGTACATTTAGACAAAGAAAGAAAANCTTCCTCCAGGGCCTCTTTTAACTTTACAACTACTTGAAAGTACATCACCCTATAATTAAATGATTTCTACAGCTTTACAGGTACAAAGTATGCATATGACTGTCGGTGATACATGGTAGTAATAGTTTAATAAAGATTTTGTTTTGAATATTATCTGGAGGAGGAAGGAGACCTCGTTCAAATCCCAGCTCTGTGCCTTTTAAATTATAGTATGAAAAATGAAAAGTAGTTTAAAGCTTCCTTGACTCTGAACAGGAATTACTTTACTTTTATTGAGCAGAGAGGATTGGTTCTTTTTTTGTTGGGGGGGGGGAGCGAAACGGGAATCGAACCTAGAACTGCAGGATCTAAGCCGAGAGTCTGACACGCTTATTCGGCTACCCGAGATCCCATCTAAATATAAATCAACTTAAATATTTATTTTTAAAGACTATTTTTCACAACTTCATAGAGAAAAGAAAACCGAACGAGACGTAGTGTGTAGATAACTGTGAGATTTCGCTTTGTAGCCAGTTCCATGGAATGTTCATCAAAGAAAAAAAAAGTACTGCATGGGGGGAATGGTGGTCTGTAAGGCTGTAACTAATACACGAAGTTACATACAGTTACAGAACAATATATTTACTAAACAGGACTTGTTATACAAACTGCAAAATAACACCTTGCGACGTTCAATGCTTATATGCACTGCTGTAGGATACATTTAATAACTGAAAGAAAACAAAACCGCTTCGGCCAAAACGCACATCATACCGATGCATGTGTCACAACCTAGCAAAACCGCTCCGTGTTTCAGCGCCCTCAGTCGCTCCGAACGTCAACCAGTGAATTACCTTCTCAAAATGGATGACGATTTCTTGTGCTACTCTTCTGTTTATTTACATATTTTATTTATTGTTTATTTACAAAGCAAAAAATCGAAGAGAAAATGGTGTAACAAGTGGCTCCTGAACAGAAGCCGTAATACCCTTTTCAATTTGATGAAAGTACTTTCCCTTGAACCCGCTGATTGGAGGAACTATTTAAGGATGGATGAAACGTCTTATTTAT